CATTTCTAGGTGTATCTTCCTGCTCTGCAACAACGATTTCATCCAATTTTAATTTTTTCACGTCATCTTTGAAGACATCTTCAAATTCACGTCGGCGTTTTAATTGAAGCTCTGCTTCTGATGATCGTTCGGTTTGAGTTTGTTGGCGATATCTTAGTTCGGACAAATCAGGTTGTGTTTTGCGGTTTTTCTTTCGTAAATCGAGTGCTACTTCCGACGATTCGTCTTCCATTTTAATATTTGCACTGCCGTTCAGGGGTAGATCCATAATTGTAGGTTTTTAAAAGTGTTGATATTTCAGTATAAGCAACTGATATGATGTTGAGTTTAAAAGTTCTTCATATTTATACTATTCCTCATTAGGTTGAGCAGGTAAAATTTTGTACAGATTTAGTATGTGGGTCCATTATATGAGTCAAAGAGGTAAAATGTGATACCTGTGCGGAAGCCTATTGTTTAACAAAATATTCATATAGGTAACTGTATCGTTTAAGAGGTGCGTTGTTGACTAATGAGATTTGTTCAGCTTAGGTAATGATTCTATTGTTAAAAAGGCTTTATCAATTATTAAAACGAAACTTCCTCTGAAAATAATACACGAACAAGATGGTCAAAATCGAATATAACAGTATCTATCAGAGCATTATATATATTATATATATAGTACCGCAATACATAAAAATTGAAATCGTGAAAAAATTTGCAGGTATCAGTTAACCTTTATCTGGAAAAATTTAGTAATTTTGAGACAAATTTGTAACTTTAGTACTCTCAATCAAGAAAAAGCAGCCTACCTAGGACCTATTATAAAGCACTCTAAATATGAGCTCCTACAAATACTTTTCCAAGGAAAAATTGAAGGAAAACGGGGTATTGGCCGTAAACAACTTTCGTGGCTTCAAAACATTCGACAATGGACAGGAATCCAGAACGTTGGCAACCGTATATATGTCGCCAGAGATATAGAGAAATACGCTGCGATAATCTGTGATTTTTTATATTTTTTCTTTTTAATATACAATAGATATATTTAACATATACGTTATTTATTTATGGTGGGATGAATATTTCAAGAAAACAACAACATATGATTAAATTTAGTCGGTTGCGTCGTCTTAGTTTTCTTATTGTTTCCCATTTCGTATAACTTTTAAAATGTGCTTCTTTTCCAACAAAGAGAGTTAGTTAGTTGAGCAAACCTCATTAACAAAATAAAAGGATATTAATAAACTTAGGGGCGTAACCAATAATCTAACAAACTACCTGAGATAGAATTATGCAATAACTGACAATATAGGCAACAAACAATAGGCTCGGGAATACGT